GTCATGTTTTTCTTTTGAGTATCCAGTTTTGCAGTTTTGCTTTTCTCCTTGTTTCCTATTTTTTATGGTTTAATTCTTAGTTTATTGTCTTCTTTGTTTTTTTTCTCAGTTACTGTCCTAGTCTTGGTTCTGTTATGTTTTCTTTTGAGTCTCCATGTTTTATAGTCCTAGTGGTTTAATTATTATTATTTCGTTGTTATTTCCAGTCTTCCTGGTTTTTCATTTGTTGCCCTCTGCTGCCCTCTTGAGTTCTCCATTTTTCTCTTGCTGCTTTCTTGTTTCTGCTCTGCTCACACCTGCTCCTAATCTGCTCGTTAACCCTCTCTTTGTTTCAGTCTCCTACAAATACTCTCTCTGTTCTCTTCTTCTTTGCTGGGTCTAACCTCTTCAGTCTACCTCCTACTTGTCTCTCTGAGCCTTCCTCCTGGTTACAGTTATTCCCCTCCTGACTCCATGGTTTTTGGTAACGTTTGACTTGTATTTTTGAATTTTTTGGACTCCTGGTTCCTTGTTTTGCTTTCGGACTTTGTTTTCAGTACTCATCATTAAATCTACAATAAATTCACCCCTGCCTTCCTGCCTCTGCTTTTATGTCAACAATTCACAAACAAATTTTGACAAGGTTTTACTATATTTGGGCAAAAATGGCTGCTCCCAAACTCCGTGATCGCGACAAAAATGATTATTTTAATTGTTTTACTGATTAACGCTAAATTCATTAAATCACAGTGAACATATTAGTTTTAGGTATAAATAATGATCCATTGATTATTCCTTGCTAACCAGACTTTTCCTTTAAAATATTAAAATAAAATGTATTCTGTGATGGTCCCCCCCAGGTTTCCCCATAGATGTTTCAGGAGCAGTGTGATAGCAGCAGGTTTTTGGATTCTCTTATGTTGTTTCTTTTGTCATGGTTTTGGTTCCGTTCAAGTTTTATCTCTTAGTTTTCTTTGGTCTTTTTTCCATTTTTGTGTTTTTAATGGTATTATAGTTATAAGATATTTCCTGT